TGTATCACAAACACTGCTCCTCTAGGCATTTAACTTAATCATTTGTAGTACTATCCAGACACTATTGTGAAAGTGATGCTTTATGGGTAAGTGAATGGTATAATTGATGTCAAAAGACTAATTTGGGGGAAGAATGGGGAGGAACTTCAGAGATGCAAATAACAGATTATCTAACAGGGCCCCATTTTTCTAGAAAAGAGACAGTAAGCATATCATATTTTTAATTTTTTATTTAATACAATTTAATGTAATGCAATTGAAATAATCCTAAAACATTTAAAAATCAAAGCACAAGAAAAAGGAAAAGTAAAACAGGCTTACTATAAAAAGCTGTATGGGAAACCAGCTTTTATTAGCGCACACAAACTTAAATATAGAGGTCCGTTTCCAATGTAGCTTCACAAATCCTATTATGTGCTCTCATTAAAGTCAATTTGAGTTTTGCCTAGTGCAAAACCTGGAGGGTTGCCTGGGTTCAACTGGAACAGGACTAGACTCCATATCACTGATTGCTGTAGTTTATAATTTCCAGTTAACAGTACAGTTTCACATTTAATGACAAAGAAAATGTGACCTACCCAGAATGGATGGGACTTGAGACAAGGTTTACATTGTCCAAGGTGTCTGCAGCCCAGCTATAATGTCTGAGTGAATCAGAATCAAATTCCCTTGGGAATGACAGGTGCTTTAAAAAAGATAAACAAAATTTAAAAATCAACATAAGAAGTCAAACATTTGTGTCTAGTATGTACCTCTCAACTGTACTATTTTAAATGAAAATACATTTTCACTTGGCACAGTCCTGCTGATCTTCTGCTGTCAATTATTTTCTCAGAAACACATAATTCTTAAAGGCAAGTTAAAATCAATTCTATAAATTTCCTTCTTTTCTGGTTTTGCTGCATGAACCATTGTAACTTGGCCCTAAATTGAGGTCCAATATTATATATGCACAAGTTCAAGATTAAACTAAACATAATTGTTTCCACTTACCTTGCAATTAAATACCATGGTGATGGGCACTACAAAATGTTTAGACACAAAATTCCTTAGGAATCCATGCAGGGATAAGGCCTGCAGGGTTTATTCAAAATAAGCTTTGGGGTTTGGAAAGAGTTAGGATTTCATGGACTTTCACAGTCTTTGTGGTGCGATATGGAGTTCACCTTACAGACCTTCTGAACTAGCTTAAAAACCATTTCTGGAGTGCTAGCTGTTCCTACTCACTCTCTTAAATATCATCCTAACCTAGTACAGTTATTGATAGATTCATAGATTGTAAGGCTGGAAGGGACCTTGGAAGATCATTGGGTCCAGCCCCCTGCACCAAGCAGGAAAGATAACTGGGGGTCAGATGACCCCAGCAAGGTGACTGGGGTCACCTCTTGAAGATTTCCAGGGTAGGCAATTGCACCACCTCTAGAGGGAGCTTAGTCCACAGTCTGGACACCACCCTAACTGTGAAGATGTTTTTCCTAATGTTGAGCCTAAAACAGTCTTCCGGGAGGTTGTGGCCATTACTCCAGGTTTTCCCTATGGGTGCCCTCATGAACAGTTGTTCACTGAGCCCTAGATGTACTCCCCTGATGTAGTGGTAAGCTGCTACCAAGTCTCTTCTCAGCCTTCTCTTTTTCAGGCTGAAGAGTCCCAGGTCCCTCAGCCTTTCTTTGTATGGCTTGCTGTGCAAGTCTCTAATCATACAGGTGGCCCTTCACTGGACTCTCAAGTTTTACTACGTCTTTGTTAAAGTGCAGTGCCCAGAACTGGATGCAGTACTCCAATTGGGGTATCACTAATGCTGAGTAGAGCAGAAGAATCACATCCTTGGTTTTGCTGGAGATGCATCAATTGATGCATGCCAGAGTATTATTTGCCCTGCTGGCAACATTGTCATACTGCCAGCTCATATTCATACTGTGGTCTATTATTACCCCCAGGTGCTTTTGCTGGATCTTTTGTATTGTAGTTGAATTACATAATTTAAATATAAATATAGGCAAGGGAAACCATACTAAACTAACACTGACGGACTTCCAGCTGCAGATATGTCAAGGGCTGGTTCCCTGACATGTTAGTGAATTACAAAGAAAATGTGTCCTTTTTGTAAGGTCTGAGTAGAACTCAAAATAAAACCCTTTTCAGTGAAAAATTTATTTTAGTATCTAATACTTCATTTCCAAGCATTCTGTGCACAGTGGCCTGTCTTGATTTTACCTTATGATGGTGAAGAGCACCTTGGCAATAAATTCCTTCTTTCCTTACTCAAAATTAATCCGACTGTTTAAGTCATCAAATCCTATATGGCCATATTTTCATGGTGAGGTATGTAAATGATATGAATACTACTAAAAGTTTCAGGGCGTACCATCACCCTGTGCCAAGAAAATTGCTTCTCATTTTGCCCATCACTTAGTACATATAGTGCGCGTCCAGACAAGTGCGCACATGCCTCTTGCCCCGTCTCAAACCCCTTTAAGATGGGGCAAGAGACACGTGCAGGAAAGAAAAAATGTTCCCCACAGCACGGGGAGAAAATTAGACCTCTGGATAGCTGGATATCCAGGGGTCTTAAAAAAAAAAAATTAAAAAAAATCTAAGTTTAAAAGAGTGGGGCAGGGCACGGACCCCAATCACTTTTCTGCCAGGCCCCTCTCCCCTAGCAGTCCTCTGAACCTCCCGATCAATTTTCTGCCCCCCACCCCCAAAATGTAGATGCACCTAATTCTATCCTGACTAAGCAGTTGGCCCAAATAAAATGTATCATCCTAAGAAATCCTTGCCTTTCACATAACTACTGGACCATCATGGCTACAATATCACTCTAACATATCTAGAAAATGATACACTTGCACACAGGTAGGAAAATGGACTTTTCATTCCATCCAGGGAGAGCAGACACGATCTGCTGAAACTTCCTTAGCCTGACGAAGGGTTTTTGAACCTGAAAGCTTGCTTAAAAATTCTTTTCCAACTATTTAAGTTGGTCTAATAAAAATTATCAGATTCACCCAAAGAACCTTGTCTGCCTATGTCTTATACCAACACTGCTACAACCTACACCCTTGTAACATGTAGACACAGGCCTTTATAACTCCAAAATGTGTTTGTGGCTTAGGATTGGTATATCCGAGATACCAGTCTTTTCCTTATTTTCTTCTACTGCAGCAGAGATCAGATGACGCACAGGAAAGATCTATTGTGCTAAGACATTCTCTAGAAGGGTCCTGTGATTTCTGTATTCATTCCTCCCTTTTTGCCCTAACTAGTCCAAATGTGTTGATTTAAACTCATGTATTTTAAACATATGTTTGGGCAGATTTGAGGTTTGTGGAGACTCAGAGTATGGATTTGTATTTCAGGCCTGGTGCCAAGGTGGGAACTTTTGATTTGGTTGTCCTGGCTTCTTTCATATATAGACAGGTTGCTGGTTTGCTACTATTTGGTGTAACTGGTTTCAAGGTTTTACTCATCTATTAGTATGACTACCTGGGATAGACATCTGTAACTGAAGCAAGTGATTCATGTCCTTTTAATCTCTACAGTAATGATCACATTTTGGATCCTTTTTGGATATAATAAGGGTTAAGGCATAAGGATTCTGTAGCAGGTTGAGATTAAAATAACTTTTACTACTATATTTTCAGCCAGGTCTCAGCTAGAAATATATTTGTACGTGTAGAGATTTGGACATAGAGACAGCTTTAAATGTTTTTTCTACATACCTCTAGGTAGCAGGGGCCCATGAACACCACTGATCTAATATATATTTTTGCTGTTTAATTGCTGACACATACCTCAGTTTTAACTGCAGCAAGGCTCAAAACAAAGAAATTATCACTACCATTTAGGCCTAAATCTTGTGGAGAGCCATACACACAGATCTCTGCACCCACCAGTAATTTCTGTGAGAGTCTACAAGGGCTTGGAAGCCTGCCAGTATTTAACCACATGCAGTGTCCTATTTCATTGGGTGACCATCTATAGTAGCATGTTTTACTTTGAGTTTAAAGCAACTTTAATACAGTATATTATTGCTACACAGTAACCAGAAATAATCCTTAACTTACTATTTCAAATAAATACTATCAGTAAGTACCACATTTCACTAGATACTAACAACAGCTATGTTTAGTTGCTTTACTAATTGGATTACATGAGATTTCCATTATTGTTAATACCTTCAAATGCCCCAAATTTTGGTTTAAAACCTTTTTACCCATGGGCAATAAAATATGGTATGAATATTAGGGCTATTCGAAGCTTCGTTTCCCGATTCGATTCAGCAGAGATTCAGCCCAATTTGGTGGCCAAATCTCCAAATCTGAATCAAATCAGAGGACCCTTTAACCTCTCCAAATCGAACTGGAACCCTCTGAATCAATTCAGAGAGATTCGAAAAGATTTGGACATAGAGACAGCTTTAAATGTTTGATCTACATACCTCTAGGTATCAGGGGCTTGTGAATGCTGTGATGCTGAGGCTCATGGAATGTCTCACAGAATCACGGGGGGCTCCCCAGCATGCTCAGCAGCAGACACAGAAGTGGGCCAGAAGCACTCCTCAGCGTGCTCAGTCCACTTCTGGGTCCACTAGGAAGCGCACAGGGGGGCCCCCTGTACCTCACTGGCTTGGTGACTGCTATCTCCTGGGTCTGGAGGGGGCACCCGGGGTCCCCCTGTGGCTGATCACTGAGCAGGGTGCGGGGGGGAGGGGGAGGGAGCCCCCAGGGTGCTCCCTAGTAGACCCGGAAGTGGACTTGAAGTACTTCTGGTCCACTTCCAGGTTTGCCACTGAGCACGTGGAGGGCCCCCTGCATTCCTGTGGGATACTCCATGCACCCCAGCATTGCAGTGATCATGAACTGAGCCTGCTACCTCAAGGTATGTAGAAAAAACTTTTAAAGCTGTGTCTATGTCCAAATCGCTGATTCTCTGAATCAGCATCAAATCTTCAGATTTAGATTCTGCCGAATTGAATCAGGGACAGTGATCTGAATCAACTAATTGAATCACTAATCGGAATCAAATAGCACCGCTTTGCACACCCCTAATGAATATATATTACCAACATTCCAAATACCCGGTGCATCAATACTTTTTTCCATTCATTTCCTTATATATTAAAATACACTCTATATAGGTGATATACATGACTATATAAAGGACAACCAAAAGGTCTAGGTATTATTATACTGTTATTTAAGCCCCTTTTCTGGGGTGTAAACTACACTACATCAAAGCTCTTCTTTTCCACCTATGTTCTTATATAAATTTATATTTAATTTCTGAACAGGATTATGGCTTTTCTATTGTAGTACCAGTTGAGAAATTTAGCTGGATTAAAATATTTAAAGAGAGTCAATGTAGGGAATTTATAAAATAAAGCAAATAGCATGCACCTATGACCAGTATTACCTTCTATTATTATTTTCCCACACTGTAACCAATTCTAGATTCAACTTCAGGTATATTAGTAATTGTACAAATGTTTAAACTATGTAAACCAGTTAGTGAGAATAGCTTCATAACTACAAGGCCAACTTGTAGTTTATGTGAAACAAAGCAACTGAAGTCTTACAAGTGTACAAAACAGCGAAATCTATTCCATAGTTTGTGTCTGGGTTCTTTAACTGCCAGCCCACAGGCTGCATGCAGATTATGACGGGTTATGCTGCAGCCCCCAGTTCCTATTTGTACACTGCTCCCCATATTGCTCAGCTACAAAAGCAGCTGGAAGCTGAGCTCCCCTTCCCTCCTCCAGCTTCTGTGCCCTGCCCCAATCCCAGGGAGTGGGTCAGTGTGGCACAGAAAGCACAGAGTGAGTCTGAATCCTTGTGGGCTAGTGCTGCAGCAGCAGGGAGGGAGGCATGCAACAGCAAGGGTATGCACATGACATGTTGTGCAGGGGCCAAATTTTGTGTGGGTTGTGCAGCATGTGGTCACTGGCATGATACACAGGGTGTGCAGCCCCCAGCTGCTTGATATTACTATATAAAAGGTTGCCAGAATTTACATGAATTTAGGTCTCAATCCTGTAAAGTGCTGACTATGCTGACCTTAATCCAGCAAACCATTTAAGGAGTATTTATTGTTAAACACAGTTGTGGTTCCACTGAGTGCTCAGCATCTTGCAAGATGAAACTCATTAATGGCAAAGTGTTCCAGTCCTTTGTTTCAGGTCCTTTCCTTCCCCCATGGGAAATGGAGGGAACAGTGGAAGTCTTAGGAAGAATTGTGAAAGGACTGTAAAGTGTCAAGGTAAAAGATCCAGCCAAGAACATTTGGCTCAGCAAGATAGTGTACTTAAGGCACTCCAGGTCCTGTTGCTAACAGCACATGTTCATATAGGTATGATGCAGTCAGTAGCATATCCATTTGCCTTTGACTCCTCAGCCAAAATGACCAGGTTCTCTTTTATAACTGGAGCAACTTGGCAGCCTTTGGTTCAAGTCCAGAGCAAGGCTTAAACTCATACCTCTGCAGCAATAGCAAGATGTCTTAACTGATGTGCCACTATGCTTTTTGCTGAAGAACGTGAGCCTATATAAAAACGCAAGATAGATACCACATACCTGATCCTTTGGTGGCACCAGCAACTCTTCAATCATCATGCTGTCCCGTGCATAAGAACTTCGGTTCAGAGTGTAAGACCTATCCGAACTGAAGGAGCGGAGGCTGTTGTATTTAGAATTTACCATACAGCATGGATGATAATGAGATGAACAAAAAATAAAGATTAATACATGCAACTTCCAGGGCATAGCAAAAGATGATAAAATACATATAATCTATGAAGTTGAAATAAAGACTGTAAACCCCCACCCCCCGAAAAAACAATTTTTTTTTTTATTTATCTATAACATTTATCTCAATGTATGATGTTTGCTGTAGTCTTTGTTCTAAACCTATGCAAAAATATATTCAAACATTTAAATTAAGTCTGAAAAACATCTAAAATGCTCTTAGGCCTGATCCTGCAATTGGGTCTCTGTGGATGGACTCCTTGACTTCAGCAGGGCTCTGTGTGACTGCAGGTTCTGCCTATATTGCTCAAATTGTACAGCTGGAGTTTAATTTTTTTTCTTTTTTTAATTACAGGAAATGACTGTTGGGCGTTTTGCGGGAGATACTTATTCTACCTACCACTTCAATGTCCACGAAGGGCCAGAAGGGGAGACTATGCTTAGGGGCAACCAACATGGGTTCATTAGAGGCAGGTCCTGTCAGACCAACCTGGTGACCTGGTCATAGAAGGCCACAAAATCCCTGGATGCAGGTGGCGTGGTGGATATAGTCTTTCTGAACTTTAGGAAGGCCTTTGACATGGTCTCTCACCCCATTCTCATTAAAAAACTAGGAGACTGTGGTGTTGATGCCTACACAATCAGATGGGTCACTAACTGGCTGGAGGGCCGCATCCAGAGAGTGGTGGTGGATGGGTCTTATTCGACCTGGAGGGATGTGGGCAGTGGGGTTCTGCGGGGCTCGGTTCTCAGGCCTGCACTGTTGAACATCTTCATCAGCGACTTGGACAAAGGGGTAAAATGAACCCCGTTCAAATTTGCAGATGACACTAAGATGTGGGGAGAAGTGGGCATGCTAGAAAGGAGGAATAGGCTGCAATCGGACCTAGACAGGTTACAGGGCTGGGTGGATGAGAGCAGGATGGGTTTCAACACTGACAAGTGCAGGGTACTGCACCTGGGGAGGAAGAACCAGCAGCATACCTACACACTGGGGAACTCCCTTCTCATCAATGCAGAGGCAGAGAAAGATCTTGGAGTCATTACTGAGGCCAATATGAACATGGGCCAACAGTGTGGGGATGCAGTCAGGAAGGCCAACCATACCTTGTCATGCATCCACAGATGCATCTCAAGCAGGTCCAAGGAGGTGATCCTCCCCCTCTATGCAACACTGGTTAGGCCACAGATGGAGTACTGCGTCCAGTTCTGGGCACCGCACTTCAGGAGGGATGTGGACAGCATGGAGAGGGTCCAGAGGAGGGCCACCCACATGATCAGGGAACAACAGGGGAGGCCCTACAAAGAGAGGCTAAGGGACCTGAACCTCTTCAGCCTCCACAAGAGAAGGCTGAGGGGGGATCTGGTGGCCATTTACAAACTAGTCAGAGGGAACCAGCAGGCATTGGGAGAGTTCCTGTTCCCCCGAGCACTCCCAGGAGTGACAAGAAATAACAGTCACAAGCTGACAGAGGGTAGATTCAGGCTAGATATCAGGAGGCACTACTTCACAGTCAGGGCGGCTAGGATCTGGAACCAACTTCCAAGAGAAGTGGTGCTGGCTCCAACCCTGGGGGTCTTTAAAAGGAGGCTGGACGAACATCTGGCTGGGGTCATTTGTCCCCAGTACTCTTTCCTGCCACAGCAGGGGGTCAGACTTGATGATCTGCATAGGTCCCTTCTGACCCTACCAACTATGAAACTATGAAATTGGTGTACATTTTCTGAGGTTTTTTCCTTTGCTTTTTGTGGCTGAGCTGCTTTCACTTTCATTATGAAATCCCAGTTATTTATTTTTCTATTAATTACAAGCATAGATCACTTCATAAAGGTGCCTGATTTACATTTGTGTTATCTTTCGTTTGTTGCACAGTTTGAAAATTAAGAATTACAATTCTGAATATATTGTTAATAATAAAAAAACCCAAATATGCATGTTACATTTAACCCTGGAAGATACATATAATATGTGTTAGAAACCATGCTACATGTTTAGACATGCTTGTTATGTAGCAAAAAATAAATAAATAAATAAAAAATATTCAAATGAACACAAATGGCATCCAGTAAAATAAATGTGCTTTTAAACTAGTAATGTTTTTCCATTGTAAAAGCTACACCTTATTTCATCCACCTTGTGCAACATTTCTAAGCTGCCTACTATATCCATTAATTTTCTCCTAACACTGGGTCCTTTAGATTTTAATGGAAGCAGAGTTGTAACATTACTTACTATAAGCATATATTAATTAAACTTTTAAATAATAAAGGGTGTAAAGAAACCAGGGAATAGTTATGTTGCAATGAAATAAAATATGTTCTAATATTGAATGCAAAAAAGCACACCACTTCACAATGCTGAATAAAATTAAAATGAGCAATGGCAATAGCAGAGAAATGGAACAATGGGGCCATGCCTTCTTACCTGACCTTGGGACTATTTTAAAGAAATTTATAGGGGAAAAGAAATGGGAGAAACAGAAAGCAAAGAATCAGACACAGAAAAGCAAAATGCTATGGCTGGATGATTTACGTATTTAATGTATTAATTTCTTAATGTTACACTCCGAATCAAAAATAGGATCACTGTGCTTTTTCCTTGAATGCAATACTTGCCTGAAAGCCACTAAATTGGTCTCCTCTGAGAATAACACAGACATAGGCTTTGTGATGTAAAAATGAGTTACACAGCAACAAATAGCAACGGTATTATTAAAAACAAAATAACGGGAGCTTTAGTATTCTCTCAAAGAAAAAAAGAGGTAAAATTCCAGTCTCTGATCTATATCTTCAATCTTGATAATCTGCTCTCCTATTCATTTCAGTGAGATTTATACATATACAGTGAGAGCAGAAAAACTGGAAATTTGTCAGGAAGATCCTGAGCAGAATTTTGTACAAGCTCTACATTCTCTTTTTCCCCTCCTTGTTGTTATCTCATATGTACCGCATACTGAACTTACAATACAGGGATGTGCTCTGTTCACAATGTAACTGATATTTAGTAACTGAGAATGTTAGCTCTGCTAGCTAACCTAGCAAAGATGTACCAGTAATATTTTCTATCAACTAACAGATAAGCTATTTTTAAGAATACTTTAGAGCTTCCTTTAGCAGTAATATAATAGGAATATTCATTAAATTACCTGAGAATTATAAGCACAATGAAAGAATACAAAGCATTACTAAAGAGCAAATGTAGAGTGCAAGCTTCAATACCTACTACAGCCACAACAAACAAAACCGGAGAATAAATATGCAAGTTTTACCTTATGGGAGGTGCCATTTGCTCTTAGACAATGAAATAACTTTTTACAACAGATCATTAAACTATAGGAAAAAGTCCTCAGGGTTCTGGCTTCTGAGGTTTAATTATTAGCTTCAGAATAAATTCAACTGTCAACAAACACACTGCTAATCCACAACTGTGGAAGTAATATCCTATCATACTATCTTGTTTGTTTCAAGCACTGTAAAATGCAATAATCTTTAGCAAGAGTTTTCCAAAATCTAAACAACTGAGCTAGAAACAAAAGAGTTGAGATCTGCAGTGTTCAGTTATATATTAAATCTGTTACAATTTGACCTATTTTCCTTAATGAGAAATCTGTTTGTTCCTTTTCAAATTAAACCATGTAATAGATTCATTTTAGCAATACAAGGGTTAGAAAATTGTTGTTTTACAGGATTTATTATTAAAACAAATGGGAGTTTGATGGGTAGTTTGATTCCTAATTTGCTCTTTTAAAGACAAATGCAGCAAAATAGTGAAATAAATATAATTCAGAGTTTCTGGTGTTAGTCAAACTAACACTGCTTTTACATTTCCTTTGATATATTGGGTAGAGTAAGAAATATTTAAATGGACTGTCAGTATGACAGTCAATAGCTGAAAGTAACTTGCTTTTTCTCTATTAATTTTAAGGCAAATGTTTTATATAAACTGCCAACTGTTAGCAAAGAAGCACTTCTAAAATTTCCAGAGTATAAGCAGATACCAGAAAAAATGAATAATTTTCTGTATTGTTGCCACAATGAAGCCAACATGAAAAAATAATAGGAAATGAAATAGCCATGGAAATATAGTTGAGAAATATAGGATTATCTGGATGCTGATATATACAGTGTCCATTTCGTTGTAGAATAGATTTTGGCAGCATGTGAAAAAGTGCACTGGATTTGCACCATCATATTTGTGATGAAGTATAAACATAAGAAACATCAAATACAATACCTGGCAGAGCGGGCTCCTAGGCTAAAGCCCATGTATCCTTCAGCAGGCAGGGAATCATCTCCCAACTCTTTTAGATCCTGAGGTCCAAGATATTTGTCTGTGTCACCTGTCATTGCATCTTCACCTGCCAGTATAAAAGCAAGCTGAAAACAGAAGCTACGCGTTTCATAAATGTTCATGTGCTTAGTAACTCAATGCCCTTCCACTGGTTGCCAGCAAGTAATCAATCACCTCACACACCCGGAGGCTTTTTTCCATATTAGAATGTCAATTAACTACCATCCCAATGAACCTGAAAAAAAATTTCAGGGCTTGATATAAGGGCGAAATTTTTCACCAGTATAAATTCATTGATTTAAGAGCTTTTTAAGGGATGAATTTAGCCCAATTATTCGACCAACCTGAGTAGCTCTTATTTGCTGAACATTGTTTAATATATTTTCCTTTTCCTTATAGGGAAGACAAAAAGGCAAATGAAAGGCAGGTGTTCTATATTCTAAAAACAGCTGCTCTTAGTTGTCTGTTTGCAAACTACCTGGGAGAGGGCAGCATGCTTTAGTGGAGACTTGAATGGAAGATGAGGCCCACCTTGTCTTTTAATATTCAGCAGCATTTTTACAAGTGTGAATTATTACTAGATTTTTTACTGCTTTTACAGTATTATGTGGTAAGGTTCCTGGCTGATCATTTTCTTAAGTTAAAGCAAGGAATTTATTAAGAATCTTCATTCCTGTAATTGTTGCGGGGGAGGGGAGTGAAGCCATGACCACTCATTTCAACATAAGTTAGAGCAGAGCATTTGTCTAAACTATTTATTGTTAGTAAGAATCTGAAAAAAAAATGCATCTCAGTGACTACTAACTAATATCCTGCTAGCTATTAGTTCACATTTACCTAATGTTGTTGAAATTAAACTAGAAGTTTGTAAAAAAAACAAATCCTAAAAAGGAACAGATGAAATAACAGAAGTTAGTGTTTAAAAAGAAAACATTTTAGGATAAAAGGGTGGAGTCACTTTCACTAACTGCATCGGCACACCACTACAGTTTACCAAAGACTACATTCCAAAAAGTGACAGAGCAGGTCGAAAATATGCCTTTTGTGGTTTTAGGATTTGTTTCCTGTCTCCTGTACAATGCAGAGTAGTACAAAGCACTGTAGCTAAGCTTATTACATTTATAAGTTCAAACTCTATCACATTTCCTCTTGAAGCAATTTTTGAGCCCATAGAGGTTGCACAATAGAGAAATGAGTTTAGACAGTACATTCTAAAAAGTTGATTGATTCAGAAATCTCAGCTACATTTTTCCAATTCCTTCATTCACTTGAGTTTAGAATTTCCATTCACTTTACTCAGGAAACCACAGAGGAGCTCTGTTTTTAAACTACCAATCAATTCTAAAAATAACCTTTCAGCTTTACAAACGGCAAAATAAACAGATCAACTTTCTCCTGCAAGCCAGCAACACAGATTATTTTAAGTAACAATTTAAAGGCTAAAATCTTTGTAATATACTATAGAGCATAAAACATCAGAAACAGAAACATTTAATACTAGGTTCAACTTAAAAAAAGTCTTACTGTTTTGGAAAGCCATTTTCACCAGTCTGGTGTATAAGAATTTTTTTCCTGGTGTTTCCAAGAATTCCTATTAGTCCTATTAGTCCTTAAGCAGTGATTTAGAGTTAATCTCCAAACCAGCGCAAGCAAACTAATCCCTGTGGGTCATATTCACTTTCCACACAACAACTGAGATCTTCTTAACATCTTGATCTCTTCATATGTATTTTAAGGCATGTGCATCTTTGTCCTCTGAACTCAGAGCAAAGTTCTTTTCAAATATGAAACAAAATGAAAAATAATGACAACTGTTATTTGAAGTTAAGATCCTTTTTAATCACTCTGTAGACATCCTTTTAAAGCTTCTTCTGATTGGATTAAAAACTTCTTTGGCAAGCCTCTTGAATGGTGACATAAATGCAAGCACTTGAGTTATTTGTATGTAAATAGGGGTACTGCTAGGGTGTAGTTTTTCTGTAATTTGATACCAAAGCTCACAGGCTAAACATGTAACATTGGGACTGCCTAAATTCATGGGAAACAGACCTCGGCACAGTACATAATCAGTAGGAGACTCCTGCAGAATTTGTATTAATGAGTAATAGACTGGATCATTTGCTACAGATACAAGACTATTAGAGAAAGAAACATTAAAATGTTGGTTGGTTAGGAAGTGTCACTGAGCTGGCTGTGATTTTTTTCAGCAGAAATGACAACGTTTCTTTATGGCCATCTTCAGGTGAAGAGCGCATAAAAAGGGAGTTGCCCTTGAGCTCTGTAGTAGACATGTGTGCCTGCAGGAAAATCTGCCTTCTTTGCTAAAGCATAACTTTTTGGTGAACCAGCCACAGACTGACTGCTGCAGCTGGAGATAGAAGTTTTTGGTGAAACAGCCACAGACTGACTGCTGCAGCTGGAGATAGAGGAAAGTAAGCAGTGGTGACTGAGGGTATGGCTGCCTTGGCTGCCAGAGAGCTGTTAGATTTGTCACCACCAAGACCCACAAAATTATCACCCCAAGTCAAGAGAGGGGAGAGAGAATACTACTTTTGTGCTACAGAGCCACAGGCAGTGAGAGAGGGTTGTGTGCATAACTCAATCTTTGGGTCAGGTAGAAAATTCTTTGTCCCTGTGCCCTCCCCTACCTCTCCCCCGACTCCCCTTTCACTGCTGCGCTGTCTCTCTGCTCTGCTCCACCCCCGGATTCCACTATGTTCAGCTTCTTTGCAGTTCTCCCCTGCCTGCTTTTGCAGCAGAGTGAAAATGAATGAAATGCTCTGTGCTGGCACTCCAGGGACTGGGATTTTAATCTCTTCTCCTGTGCTTCAAGCACATCCAGGACAGAGCACAACACAGGAGTCACTGGAAGGAAAATGCAACATGGAGGGAGAGCTGGGGGCCTCTCCC